AATTGGAATCGAGACTAGAGAGCGAACGCAAAAAAAAAAGGGGAGAATAAAGCTGGGGGATTGTGAACGCGCTGTTGGCTGTATGTGTAGACGGTGGCGCAATTTGTGTATCTCCCCTTTTTGTTTTTCTCTGGCGTCTTTTTTTTTTCTTTGCTCCTCCTCGTGTTTGCGTCAAGGCCTACCTGCAGTTGTTCCCTGTGTGTGTGTGTTGTTTTTTCTTCTGTGTGTGTGTGTTTTGTTTTTGTTTTTTGTTTTTGTTTTTTTGTTTTTTTTGTTTTTTTTGCAGAATAGATGAAGTTGATGCTGCTGCCTTTACTACCACGGTGGCGGGTGTGGCCAGGGCCGCATGGCATGTTGGTGAGTACAGTTGTTGTTGTTATATTTCTATATTATATATATACGTATGTGTGTGTTTGTGTATTTGTGTGCCGTTGAATGCTTTAGCTTCCTTTTTCTACATCTTTTTCTTTTTCTTGGCTTACGTGACAAATGCGCACATAGGGAAGGTGGGATAGTTTTATTTTATTCACTCCAGTGTTGACACGCCTCTCTTCAAGGATATTTACTCGGATAGCTCCGCTGCATCCGCTAAATCAGCACTGGACTTTCGTTGTTTGTTGTTGTTTTTTCCCCCCACTTGTTGCTACTTCCTGAACTATTTGGCCCATTCTCGGCTGCTTTGCTTTATATATTTGGCTTCGCCGCGCCCCTTTCCCAGGTGTCGCCGCTGTTTGACCCCTTTAGAAGAGAAAAGTTTTTTTATTTTCCTCTCTCGCGTTGATTCCCTGCAGGCGAGGAAATCGTCGTCCTTGGCCGCTGTTCGGTTCTCCACGTGGTCTAACGTGCAGTGGGAAACCGCGTGCGAAGGGCGTGTTTGTGAGTGAGTGTGTGTGTGGGGGGGGGGAGGAAGGGTTTTTGCTCTTGCCACTGCGGTCCAGACGAAGTGGTGGAAATCTCTCACTTTCTCTTTGCGTGTGTGAAAGTAAAAGGGGAGAGTTTTGTGGAGATGCGGGGAATGTGGCGGCTGTCGCTGCCGCTCCTGGCCTCTTCGTCTTCGTTCTCCAACAGCCGTCGCCATGTGGGGCGCGAGGCGGTCTTCTTGCCGTGGGACGCGCGGCCGTGGCCCTCGTACGAGACGCACGCCGACCAGTGGCGGTTCCTGGATCGCACCCTCTCCGCCGTTGTTGGCATGACACCTGCTGAAGTCTCGGCGAAGTCCTTGCGACTCTGCCCGCGGCATCTCCTGCAGGAAATTGAGGACCCCGTGCTTGCGCTGCAGCGGCGACGACAGCGGGAGGCGCAGCACACACCGAAACTGCAGCAGCAGCAGCAGCAGCAGCAGCGGCGGCGAAAGAGTGACGCAGCTCCACTCAGTGCGCCCGCTGGGGCACACCCGAGTTGCTTCGCGCAGACCAACAACAACGGCAAGAACAAGGCCAAGGGCGGCGGTGGTGCGCTGGAGGAGCGGGGGGAAAACACGACGGTGCCCAGGCCGGCGCCCGCGACCAGTGCTTCCAGGGGTGGCCCCAGGATCAACCGCACCCAAAAGAAGAGGGATGTGACGGGAAAGCCTTTTGGGGCGTATTCTGGCATTCCCACATCATCAACCGCAGCTGCAGCGGCACCACGTGCGCCTACAAGGTTGTCTACTTCCACGACGAGGAGTAATGTTTGTAATAACGGCACCGAGAATGCTTCGGCCACCCGATCTTCTTTTTCGGCACGCCCAACAACAGCAGCATCAGCAGCGGAGGGTAGGATGCCGGGACGCCAACCACGCGCTGAGAAGCGCACAACTGACGCAGTGGGAGAAAAAGGGGAAACGAGGCGCAGCGACAAGGACAGCATTAAGAGTCAGTCGATGTCTAAAAGGCTAACAAGCACGGTCTCGGGCGAGGCGATCAAAAGTGGTGAGGCGGAGGAAAAACGTGTAGCAGCCAGAGAATCCGTGGACCTAGAGCGGAATAACTCCCTTGCACAACCGCCGCCAACAGGAACAAAACAGCCACGCAGTCAAGGCAAAGGGGCTAAACGTGGAAAAAAGGGGCAATAAGTCGCCTGCCTCATTGGAAGACGCTGTTGCTCCCACAGCATCTACTTCTTCTACGATGGAAAGAGATCATGATGCAGCTGGCGATGGATGCAGGAAACCGCCTTCAGGAGAAGCGACCGGCACAAGCGTATAACGCCTTGAAATGTATTGGTTCCTTGCAATAGCATATACATGCATATATATATATATGTGTGTGTATCCGTATCTAAAAATGGTGGTATATATTTACGTGTTAGTAATTGATGAGGCGGTGGGGGATGATGTGGATGGGGGGAATGTGTGTCACTTTTTTGGCAAGAGAACGGGGGAATTGGAGAGAATATGTTTAAGCATATATATATATATATATATATATATATCTACCTACTGTAGTTATATGGATATATGAATATAAGAAAAGACTTTGTCGAAGTAAATAAGCCTCGGAAAAAGAGTGATGTGTTGTGTCTGTCTTTCTGTTTACAAGGTAAGCAAAAGGCGGGGAGATAAAGAAAGGAAGTTCAAGTGATGGACGTTTGTGTGTGGGTGCGTGCGTGCGTGTGTGTGTATCCATCATTACTACAAGAACAACAATAATAATAGGAGAGGGGGGGAAATGTGCTTAAAGTAGAGTGACTTGATTGGTGGTCCTTAACTTTGTCGGTGCTGTCTGCGCTCTACTCATGCACGGCACTTGCACACGGATGACTTCTCTTTGCATCAACGTAAATGGAAGGGGGGGAACGTGCTGGACGTCCGCAGTGAGAGCTTGTCGTCCTCCTCCTGGTAGCATTTGGGGCGTTGTTGTTTTACTTGTTGTTTCCGCCTTATATATTTGCTTGTTTCATTAGAATCTGTTTATACTAGAACTTCTCGCACAAAAACAAATGGAAAAGAAGGAAAAAAGAATGTGAGTTAGTGACTGTGCGAGAGTAATTCACGTGAGAGTTTGAGGCCTGCAGCCAAGTTCGTTTCTTCGTTTACCGCGGGTACTTTCTAGACCTCTCTGCATGACCGTGTCTGTGTGGGTGTGGACTGACACTTATTTTCATGCTCTTCTGAGAATGTGAGAGAGGGAGAGAAAGGGAAGTGGCAGAACGCCTATGGGGCCTGAAGAGAAGAGGCACGGGGGCAGCAGCAACAGCGGCAGACAAGGGTGGGGAAAGGATGGGGTAAACGGATTCACGTCAGTCTGCTTCTCTTTTTATTCCTGTGGCTGATCGTTTTGTTTTATTATTCCGGATATATATATATATATATATATTCTGTCCTTCATTGGCATTTCTTTCCACGCCTCATGTTTTCGTGTGGGGTTATTTTTGCGCTGGTTCTTGTGACCCTCTTTTTTTCGCTTCGTTTTGGTTTTTTTTTGTTGTTGTTTTTTTTTTGTTCGAATCTCAAGTGATCGTCAGGGTTTCACGTGTGTAAGATGCCCCGGTACGCTTCTTTTTCCGCCATGCCCCAGCCTTCTCCCCCTGTCGGGGTGTCATCCTTACGATTACTACTGCTACAATTATAATTGCCCGCTCTTGTCGCTGTGGTTGTTTCTTCTTCTTTTTTTTGCCGTCTTTCTTCGTGAGCGTGTCTCCCTGCTGCTGGCGTACCTGAAACGCATACCCGTGGTATGACGGGGAAAAAGGTGGTGGAATGATGTAAACACAAGGGAGACGGTGAGAATTCTGCCCACAGATACGTCTCTTTTTCTTTCCTTTATTGCGTGATCCCTTCCTTTGCTTACAGGCCTTTCGACGACCGTACACTGAAGTGTGTGTATATATATATTGGGCGGCCTAGACATGGTGCAATGCTTCAAGTGTAGGCAGTCGCAGGGCGTTGCGAGCAGCCGTGACGGGGCCAACAAACCGTACTGCGCGGAATGTTTTGTTGAGTTCTGCACACGACAGATCCGCGACAATTTGTTCAAGCACTGTGGCATGCCGTGTGAGGTGCCGCTTGTTGTTGCGGTCTCGGGCGGCCCCGGCTCCATGGCACTCCTCCATCAACTGGGAGTTCTGCGGATGCAAAACCGTCTGCGTCCCGAACGCGGCCAAATCACCTTCAACTTTATTCCATTGCACCTGCGCGAGGATGAGCTTGTGCTGCCACTGCTGGCAGAGGCGTCGGGGAGTAAAGTGAGAGGTTCGCTGCAGGAGGAGTTGCACCGTGTCGCAGCTACCATGGCGGGGCAGTTTGACAAGCTGGAGACGATGATACGGACGCAGTGTGTGCAGTGGGAATTTGGCAGTACACCTTTATTTACAACGGATGAGGTGTGTGTGGTGCGTTACGGCGATTATTTATCACCTAGGGAGATGCAGGCATTTCGTGAGCTGCTGCATCATCCTCGCCTGTCGTTGTCAGAGCGGGAACTCCTGTACGGACGGCTGCGGCAACGCGCGTTAGCCGCTGCCACCATTGAGTGTATCTCGCGCTGGCACCAGGCACGAGACGTCCCAAATATGGGGTGGCATCACATGTTGACAGGTGAGAACGCTCTTCGCTGCTGTGTGACGACGTTTCGCGAGCTTATGAGTGGCGACGGAGAGAATTTGATTCATCTCTCTGGTTACCGTGGATTTTTGAGCCAATGTCTCGTGCTGCGTCCACTGCGCAGTCTGCTGCCACGTGAGCTTGTACTGTACTGCCGCACCCAGGGCATTTGGGCGGGGTACTCTCCATCACTAAGCACCAAGACGAGTCTGCGGTCTATGAATCGCACGCTGGAGTTGTTTTTTAACAATATGCTGCAGGCATACCGCACCTCGGTGTTCAACGTATTAAACACAGTTAACAAACTCCGCGCTCAGACGGCGCCAGAGCTCACCTGTGTGGACCTGCAGCTAGGGGTGTCGCCGCAGCAGGCGAAACGTGTCATACCTGGCAAGACAGCTCAACACCACTATGAACAGTTGCGGACGAAGCAACCCCCGCAACACTCTTGGTGTTGCAAAAGCGGTGGGATGCCGTCTTCTCCAGAGAACGACGAACGAAATCATCCCCTGTGTTTGCTTTGTGGTTGTCTCATTCCTGTCGCGGACGAACACGTCGTCCAGGTTCGCACGGGAAGAAGGCGTTTCATGTGCAAGGCTTGTATCACGTTTGTAGAAGGTCTTCCAGATGACGTGGTCACTGTTGTGACGTCATTAGGCGGCACACAGCACGCTGGTGGTGACGAGAAACTAGCACGGCAAACAGCAAAGCTGTCAGACGGTGGTTCACTTGGCGCCTTTTTGTCCTTGGCAATACGGATGGAGTCACTGATGCGAACCACGGATGCCACTGCAGAAGCAGGCGGGGAAGCGAACCCAGTGGAGACACGGAGAGTACGTCGGCGGCTGAGCGAGCACTATGTGCGGGATTTCCTCCTGGAGGAAGGCGAAGGGGAGGAAGAGGCGAGCGCGTGAAGCGAGAAAGGGAGCGCGCTCGTGTGAGACGGCGTTCCGGCGCCTCGTCGTCACTGGTTGCGTGCTGCTTGAACGCTGATGCGTGGGCATATTGCAGTTGTGGGCTTGGGATGATGCCTTGTGCCCCATTCTGCATGCATTCTTTTCACCTGTACATGAAGCTCTCCGTAGTTTTTGTCCGTGTGTGTGTTGTTGTTGTTGTTTTGGGCTGCTCTGTGGTGTTTTTTGTCCAAACGTATAAAGAAGGATCTCCATGTGTGCCCCTGCCTGCGTGCACCCTCCTCCCCTTTTCCCTGCATTGAAAGCCTCAATGCATGTGTCATGGATATTACAAACAAACCAACCAATTCCCTCTTCTTACTCTTGGGCTCGCTCTCTGTGCAAAGTACACATTTTTGTTACTGCACTTTTTTTTTTGGCTCTTCAGCCAAAAAAAAGGAGGGGAGTGGGGGGAAGGAAAAGAAAAATGACTCTGGCGCCTACAATCTTTCGTCATCCACTGGCCTCAAAGCGGTTTATGATGGTCTTCTATAATGAAAAGGGGGAGGAGATTCAGGAGTTGTTTGAGCTGCAGACGCGTTATGAGGCGATTGGCCCTATTGCCATGGGGGCGTACGGTTTTGTCTGCGCCGCGACGGACAACGAGATGGTGGAAAAATTTTGTAGTAGCCCACCCGAGGAGTACAATGACTCCTCCCTCTCCTCTGAGGAGCGTCAGGATATCTACGAGAACCACACCACCGTGGCGGTGAAGAAGCTGCGGCAGTTGTTTGAGCGGAATCAACCACGCATGTGGCTGTGCGCCACCCGTGAGATTCAACTCATGATGGCCTTTAAGCATGACAATGTCATGTCCGCCCTAGACTTCTTCATCCCACTTGGCGAGTGTGAACGGATGACATACGAGTCCGTTGAATACCTGCGGTACAACTTTGATAGCGTCTACATTGTCATGAAGAAAATGGACTACACGCTGCGGGAGGTGCTGGAATCTAGTGTCTTCCCCGCAGCGGAGGCCGCGGACGAGGGTGGTGAGGAAGCCAACGCGAAGCCGGCGACGACGAGCTCCACAGGAACGTCCCAGAATTTTGATAGTTTTGGGGACAGTACAAATACAAATGCGAATGACAGAACGGATAGAGTTGCGCGGTGCCCGCAGACACATCTCGTGCTACACCCACTCTCCCGCGATTATCGCATGTTCATCCTTTACCAGCTTCTGCGCGGGGTGGGCTACATGCATTTATGCCGTGTCATTCACCGTGACATCAAGCCTGAGAATATTATGCTGGATCGTAACTACAACGCACGGGTGTGTGATTTTGGTCAAGGCCGTGACGCGGCGGCAATGGAATGGAATGGAGTTCTCCAAACTTTCCTAGACAACTGTACGCAGTGGTACGCCGCGCCGGAGACGCTGACGCTGGCCCAAGTCTCGTCTCCTTCCGGGTTTGTTGACCAAAAGACGCTGCATGCTGCGGACGTGTGGTCGATTGGTTGCGTCGCGGCAGAGATGCTCATAGGGCGGCCTCTCTTCTATTGTCGGCGTAGAAGTGGAGTCGGCCAGTTAAGCACCATCATGAGCGTCCTTGGGGAGCTCTCTGAGAAGGATGCCGAACGCATTTTGCAGCTCCGCGACAATGAGACGAAAAAGATGTTTGAGGATAGCCTTCGACAGGAAATGCAGCTGTATGTCAACACTCCGTCTAGACTGAGAAGCCTGTTGCAGTCCCCATACGATGACGTGGATGAGGAAGAGATCAAGCTTATCGAAAGCCTCCTCTGTTACGACCCGACTCGCCGCGTAACCATTCAGGAGGCGCTGCAAAGTCCATACTTTATCAAGGAAGGCTATGAACCTGTCATTGACCCAGACGACACCGCGACGCGCGTGCGGGCGGTGGAGGCAAATGAGATCGTGGATGCAGTGAAGGGGCGCAAGTTTCTTTGGTTACTTTTCATGAAGCACCACCCTGAGGTAGATGAACTCATCCGGACGCTGGACATTCGGAGGAACAGCAGTTCCACAGAGTACACGCAGGCTTCCTCCCCCCCGGGATGCACACAAGACGTGGCGATCCCGGGGGGGATGAGCTGCGTCTGATGAGCACTTGGCACGGGAGCTGAACACAGGCGCAGGGCCAGAAGAGCATCAGTTAATGAAAAAGAAAAAATGAAACAAAAGCACCAAAAATGGGAGTCAAAGAAAAAAAATGGAACAGGAGTAAATGCATTGTAAATTTCACTACACCGCGTGGTATGAAATTGTTTGGGGAAAAAGGGGTTAACATTACTGTTGTGTTTTTTTTACTTCTTTTTCCTCTCTGAGTCGTCCTGCGCTAGTCCTTTTCTTATGGAGGGGGGAGGGTGATGCTGCTGGAGGCAGTCAGCCGCGTTGTTGTTCAACGAACTACGCACGTCTCGCTGTTCCTTGCAGTCACTCTCTTTTTGTCTGTTTGTTTGTTTTTTTGTTTCTCCCCCCCAGTTAGCTGCCGTGTGGGGCTGTTGGGGTGGTGCACACCTGCCGAGAGGCCGCCGACAGGAGGATGACGGCGCCTCCGCCTGACTGCGACGCGCAGAAAAAGCGGCTCTTGGCGGAACTTCTGGCGGCCCGCAACGGCGACCGCATCGTGGATGTGTCAAAAGCCATCGACGCAACTTTTTTTTGCGACGCACCCGATAAAGTACGTGGCGCGGCACCAAAAATCGGTCGGGTTTTTCTCACAAGTGCAGCGGAGGCGCGTCGCGGGAACATAACAGCAAAACTGATTTTTTCTGGCGGGCGGCGGACAGCTGCCGCCGCGTTGAAGGGGAAAAGTGACTTGGAAAAGGAAGATAACGCCGAGGCGGAGGAGAATCGGTGGATTCGTGGGGTTCTTATTGTCTCTGGCGCGATTCTGCCACCGCCGGAGTCTGTGTTTTTGGACCCTCACGGCAATGGCCGCGTCTTCTCCCTTGGAAACCCCAACTTGTCGGTGCAGCTGTTGGTGCGTGTTGTGGGTGTGCCGCTCCCAATGTTCATTCCGCATGGCTCCGCCGCGGACTCCACCACGGCGAAGACGAGGCGGCCGTCAGCGCAGGCAAAATATAGGCAAATTTTGCTGGAGACGGAGCTTTGCTTCTTGCAGAGTTTAGAGGCGTGTTTGATGTGGCTGCTGCGTTCTCGGCGCTACGAGGGGACGGAGAAATTTTATACGCCATGGTTGCAGAGCGAACTCCATGCCGGTCATATGTGCCGTGGTCGAAAGAGTCATCCCTCGTCGTCGGCGTCATTCTTCACGGAGGAGCCTGCGACACTTTCGGTCCCGCTGTATTACCTCCCCATGCACGTTGAAGACAATGCCAACTCGCGCCTTGCGGATGTCATTGATGTTGCGGCCGAATTCCTGGATCTGATTTTGGACGCGGAGAGGTCGGTGGTGAGGGAGACAACGGCGCTTTTGCAGGAACTTGTGCGACTCTCCGGCATGATGGCGAACAGTACGGAGGGCGACAGTGATGGTACAACGAAGAGCGACAACAGCAAGAAGAATGTAAGCGAGTTGCTGTATGTTTTGCACCGTCACGCTGCTGCGCTGCTGGAGTCGACGCGTCTGGGTCACGCACATTTAGGCACTAATCACAGCGGCGGCAACAGCAATTCTACCGCTGTTGTAACGTCGATACTTCCGACTGTGTGCGACGATGGCGAGTACGGCATGCCCCTGTCGGAATTGTTCTTGGATGGCTCCGCACTAGGCCTCGCACCCGCATCATTTCTCCCCGACGATGGTCGTGAAGGTGGCGTCGGTGATCCCTCATCCTCGGTAGGTGGTGGCTGCGGCGCCCCGGAATCCAGCGGGCAAGCCACATTGGCAGGAATAGAAGGGAATAACGTGTGCGCCGCATGCGCACCACCCGGCGTATTGATTCATTGTCTGAAAGGCGTCTCGCGGAGTCCTAGCGTCATCATGGCGTACTACCTGCGCAAGTTTTGCCAAGAGTTTTACGTGCTCTCACGCATACCCCGCCATGCAGAGGTGGCGGACCCAAGTACAGCAACCGCGGAGGAGGACAATGAAGACATGTACATTTTTTCATTTCGCAGACTCTTGCAGTGCTTGCAGGAGGCACGCCCTGCCGTAAACCCGCAACTCTGCTTCCTTGCTGAGCTAAGGTCCATGTGGGCGCGTTTGTCAAAAGAACTGGCTAAGAAGGAGGCGAAGTAACTTTTGTGATGAATATATATATATATATATATTTTTTTTTTTGCAGTGTTGTTTCTTTGCTGCTATTGTTCTTTTTCTTCCCTCTTACTTCTGGGGCGGGGTGGGAACGAACGCGGCCGCCAGGGCTTAGACCCCCCCCCCCCCGTCCGGCGTCCCATTCGCTGCAAAACATTTTAAGTACCTTTCATTTGTCTGCGGGCGTGCACTCCATTTTTCTTTCTTTTTTTTCTTTCGTGTGTCCGTGCATGCTTGCAGCTTTCATTGGGACTCAATCTCCCTCTCTTGAAGTGTTTGTGCGTTTCTTTGTCTTGTGTGTGTGTGTGTGTGTGTCCGAGGATATCGGTTTGCCCGTGCGTCATTCGGCATCTTTCCGTCTTTTTTTTTCTCTCTTTTTGCTTCTGACATAAGTTGACTGTCGTCCATCCAGTTGGGAGTGGCTTCTTGCCAGCACGCGCGTGTGGTCCAACCAGAACCCCCTCGCCGCCACTAATGGCGACCCTCAAGGTGACGGTGCATGAGGCGCGGGACCTTCCCGTCATGGACCGCACCACCGGCCTCGCGGACCCGTACGTCGTCGTTAGGTTGGACGACGCCGAGCACACCACAGAGATTGTGCACATGTCACGACATCCGGTGTGGAACACGGACTTCCGCATTGACACCTCCGATCTATTTGTTCTGCAGGAAGACCCACTGGAGGTGCGTCTCTACGATCATGACATCATCAGCCGCGATGACCTTGTCGGACTTACATTTATCGACTGCAACTCGATGGTGCTGCAGAGCAGCCCTTGCATGAGTGGCTGGTTTCCGCTTTTTGATACTGTTGAAAAGGGTATTCGTGGTGAAATTCGGCTCACGTTGAAAATAAAGTTTCATAACGCAGAAAATCCCCTTGCGCCAGGAATTCCAACACGTTACGTCCCGCCTTTAACAACACTGGATGCCGATCATGCAACCCGTGCGGAGGATCAACTGCTGTCCCAGAATCTGCCGCCGGAGAGGCATCTCTTGGAAGCTTTTGAGCCGCTGCGGCCCCCGCAGATGCAGCACCCTTCCATCACTGCTGATGAGGAAGGCATTCTCATTTTCTCGGCGTGGCGTTTAGACCCTTCCGTGTATCGCGTTGAGTCGGTGCTCATGATGGTGGAGGAGCTCATTGTGAAGGCGGACCCGGGGCACTCGAAGTTGACCAACCTGCGCAGCACTCGCAGCACAAACGAGGCGCGTATCGTTCAACTCTACAAACTCAGTGGAAAGGTACGACGACAGTTGACTCGTAAAGTTGTGGAGGTACAGTGCAACGCGGTGCTTGGGTACACCGAGGAGTTTGACATGGATGCAAACGGCATTATTGTCCGGGGTTACGGCACACCGTGCGTCGTCTCTGCCGTCAAGTTTGTCGATCGCGAGAAGACGGAGTCCTGCCTGCCAATTAGCGCACTGGCGGCGGTGAACCCAACGGAGGCGTCCTCCGGTTACCTCACTCCAGCACTCGCCGCATCCAACGTGCAGCTGCCTGTGCCAGTCGCGGAAACGGTGGGCGGCGTTACGGCGGCGGTGGGGGAGACACAGGGATCCGGGGCAGCCGCTGGCGTCCCGCCAGTTCTCGTGATGCAGCGCCCCTCAGCGGCGGGACCTGCGTCACTGTCTCCTTCATTTGCAGAAACCCCGACTGCCACGCAAACGGCGTTTAACAACTCCACACAGCCTCCTCCGTCTTTCCCACCCGCTGCTCAGCCGCAATTTGTTGCGATGCCTCATGATGGTCATTCAGCAATTATTCCAAAACCCGATTATGGAGCTCCAGGTTTACCTCCGCAGCAACCAGCCACAGGAACACGTGCCAATGTGCTCATGTTGACCGTCAAGGATCTTCCCTCAGGTATGATAGAGCATATTGGAGGGTACATTAGTGCACGGTCCGTAAAAATTGTGGCCAAACTGAAAACCAAGCTAAGGCTCTCCCTGCAGCTTGATACGTGGTGGATGGAGTTGCGAGATGAGCTCAAGGCGAATGCGCGCGCCTTTAATTGCAACGTCATCTTAGGGTACGAGGAGGTTGTCATGTACCACGAGGATGTGGCGGTGTTGTCGCTCTCTGGAACCGCAGTGGTGCTAAATTCAACGATGCATCCACTGCGTTGTGGTCCGGAGTATCTTTACCAAACCGCCCGAGGACGCTTTAGCACACATAAAAACTGTTCTGCGCTACACTTATTTCATTCCAATTTGCGCTTAACAGACATGGTTGGAGAAATGGAATTGGTTGCGGTGTGTAATATCTGTCATCGCAACTCCGTGCCCGAGGTGCTGCTTGTGACGTGTGCCATGCCGCAGGATCTCACCTGGGAGGAGCCACCTAGGCTCGTGCATGCCGTTGTGTCCAAGGCAAAAAGCGACGTCCGCGGGGTGGATCTCGCCCTCGCTGTTTCACAGGCACTTCCCTACATTGAGTACTCATTGCACAAGCAGCTTCTCTTTCATCTGAAGTTGCAGAAGTTAAACGCCGTCTTTGGGCTTCGACTTACTCTTTGCATTGCCTCCGACACGATCATCGGTGCACTTACCGGCACTGGTGTTCGTCTGATGGCTCTTCCAGTGCCATCGTCACCGCGATTGAAAGTTCTAGACAAGGCAATAAAACGCAATAAAACTGTCATGCGTTTAGTGGACCTCGTGGCGCAGCGCATTCGATTAGGGCGAGCGCAACGTCATAACTCCCCTTCATATGGTGAGGAGCATGAGTCCCTTTCCTCATCCACCTCATCCTTGGCAAATAGAATGGAAGACTCCCCTGCATCTCTGCCGGGGATCGGTGGTGAATCTGGCTGCGACTCGGAAAGTGATCAAGGGTCCCATGGCTTTGGTAGGGTGGGGAGCGCGCATGATTACGTGCTTAACATCGATGACGAGGAAGAGGCGGAGATGATGCTTGATATGAGTGCCGATTTACCCTTTGAAGACAGTCTACTACTCACAGTACCGTATGTGCCGGAATGGGTCAATATCTACGGTTCTCAGCAGCGCATTGTGTTAAATCGTCGATTTGCATTTCAGCGAATACAGAATGCTTCTTTTACCACGAGTAAAATAAAGGAGTGTTTTGCAGACGCCAAAAAGGCCTTTGTGCAGCTTGCCTGCCGTGTGGCAATGCGGTGTCAGCATTGCCCATTGGAACGTTTGCATGTGATGGGGTTTAGCTTTGATTTCTTTTTTGAACCCAACTCCTGTTCATTGCAGCTGCGATTGGAGGGCTGTCTTATGCTGCGCACCACCTCCCAGCGAAGGCGGTTGATGGAGCTAGAGGACAGATCTTTTACGGAATGTAAACGGCGCGTGGAGTGGTACACGCATCCTGTGCCGCTTGCTTACGGCAGTGTCAATGGGTCAACAGATTTGCCGCCACCGCCAGTGGACACCAACACAATGCCTCGTGAATCGCTCTGCAGCGCTCCCACCCAAGATGGGAGCAGCAATACAGCCTTGGGGACTTTTGGCCATGGTGAAAAAGCCATCTTGCGAGACCTTGAAAGGAGTATCTTTGTTACTAGCAATGCACCGTATGCACTTCCTTTTGTATTTAAACGGAATGTGTCGCCTCCTTTTTTATGGGGAAATGAAGGTACGAATGCCACACCGTTTACCGTGCCTGATGTGGGTAGTTACAGTAAGGACAATCGAGCCCGTCCTGGAATGCTGGGGCGGCAATGGCAAGCACTAAACTTGCTTGTCTCGACAGCTATTCGTAATTTGAAACAGAAAACCGGTGTGACGTCTGATGGTAAAGGGGGTGTTGATGCCCGTCATCGCGACAGCGTCAATGCACTGGAGTCTGTAGGCGGCGGTGGTCCTATGTTGCATCAGCCGGTGCGGCGACTTCCTGTGGAGCTGAAGATGCTGGGAGCGAACGCTTCTGGGGTTATTTTTACTCCGTTAGATTTTGTAGCGGGGAGGGCCATTGCGAGGTATGTGGGCCGCCTTTCCCAGCACTTTATTCGTGAAGCCTATGAAATAGAGTCTAACGAGGAAATTGGTGGCTTTTTTCAGCAAACGGAGTTTGAAATCCAATGCATGGTGCAGGCAATGGTGTGCCTCATGGGAGGAAACGCCTTACTAAAGCATCGTGTGACATATCATGAGGTGTGGGATTCCGACGGCTCGGAGTCTGCCTCTGTGTTTGTCACAGTGACGGGGGATGTGGTGCAGACAAGCTCGCTTCCTTTAGTGCCCCTGCTTTCGGATAATGGTGATACTTCTGAGGAATGAGGCGCAGGTTAACGGCAGTGGACTGAATGGGTGGAAGTGGCAGTTGTGGAGGGCCTGCGCAGGGTGGAAGCCAGCTCCAGGGTGAACGTGACAAGTAAGCACTCGCTCCTTTGTGGAGCGTGTGGGTGTAATATATATATTATACATAATATGTATATATTGCTCGGGGATGATACTTATTTCTTCTTTTTTTCCCCTGTTTGCTCTTGCTTGATTTTTGTTGACCGCCACACTTTTCTTCATGCACCAGCACATGGTGATGTGAGGAGGTAGGGTGTACGGAAAAGGAAACAAGAAAGAAAAGAAAAGAAAAAGTCAAGAGGTGGGGGAAGGATATTGTTCCTATTCATAAATAGCCCCCTTGGGCGGCGAGGCGAAGACAGAGGACGCTGTAAGGGTCGACTGTGGCCACAGCAGTCGTTGTAGTTGCTCCATGCAGGTCCTGGCCTCCGATGAGGGTGGACTGTGCGCTTTGTCCCCAAATCAGGGCCTGTGCGCCTTTGTGCAGAAAGGTGTGGTCGTTGTGTTTATGGATTACGTCCGGCGTACGAGTGGGATAGTGAATTACGCGCCTTCGGGCGGGGAGTCGGTTGCCCCGCTTCCTGCGAGCGCGGATTTACCGACGCCCCGCCGATGTGACGCTGTCATTTCCACCCACACCGCCCTTGACGAGATCGATGAGCTGCAGTGGTCACCGGATAGCACGCTTGTGACCCTTCTCCTGGCGCGATGCAAAACTGTTGAAATTGTGAGTGTATACGGCAAGTGCTGTGTAGCTCGCATTGATGCAGGAATTTCAGGTCTGCGCGCGGTGCACTGGCACCCGTCGTCGCGCGCGGTTTATTGGTTAGGATTGCTGCAAGCGCATGTCCTCTCTCTTGTGGACGGCCAGGTGATGCGCCTTGCGGGGGGTGTGAAGTATTCCACCCAGCTCGCGGCAAGAAGGCATTCGTCGAGGCTCTCCGTCCACGGCGACCCCGCCGCCCCTTCTTTCTTCAAGCAAATTGGACCCGTGAGTGAGGCCGCCTTGATTCGCTTCTCGACGTGCCATCGATTTTTGCTCTACGTGGCACCCAAGTCACTCCATTCACCACTGTCAGCCAACCGGGAGGGGGAGCAGACGGCCCCAGCACTTGGGGTGAGTGGCGGCGTCACACCCATGCCTCCTGCACGAGAGACCAATGATAGTGACAGGAAGGCGAATCCCCGTTCCCAGCGCAGTGAGTGGCTTGTCGCTGTCTCGGCTACGACGCATGAGGAGTTGCATGCCTTCCCAACGGGAAAGTTTGTGCAAAGTGTGTCAGACTTCTTCACACTTGAGTGTGGGATTGCACTGGTGGATTATATTCACGGTACCCTGGTGTTGCTCTCATACGATGGCGCCCACATGCTACATCACGAACCCGCTGGAGTGAAGCACGTTGTCTCCTCGAAGGATGGAACTGTGCTCCTCATTCTATTTGCCGATGCCTGTCGTTCTGTTCTTGCGTACAAGGATCGTGTTTTGGCCTTGCGACGCATTAGCTTTCAGGAAGATGTCATTTTGTCGCTGCGGCTGCGAGAATTGCAGGTGTTGAGGGAACCGACCTCGGCGGAGGGCTTCCCGGTGGCCCTTTCAGGCGTCGGGGCGTATTATCAAAGGGACTGCGACGCCCTCAGAGAAGTGCATAGGCGTAATAACGGGGCACAAGAAACGGCACAGGCGGAGTCGTTGCGGAGCCGTGCCACGATCAGTGCGTCTGGCCAGATGGCTGCCGTCACGCTGGGAAGATGGCCATGGTGGGTGTTGCTTATTGATATTCTTGGCCAACGAGTGTCGGAGGTGCTGCTGCACAATGAGCCCGTTCTGGGGCTTTGCTGGAGCCCCTCATCAAGTTCGGAGTACTGGCGTTTCCAGCGGCGCCATTACATTCAGAAAAGGGAAGGAAGTGCGGAGATGGCTGGTGACAGCAGCGCTGCCAGGGGGAAGCGGCTCCCAGGAGAGGAGGAACCTCTGCTTGTGACCACGGACAATCACGAGGCGAAGGTATTTTTGTGGCTTGCCAACTATGCCACGTGTTTTGCGGCTTCTTGCAAAGCCTTTTTGGATGAGGCCGAAGCAGCGCCGAAACAAAAAAACCAGCGAGGCGAGGCGTCTGGCGGCGTTGGTGAGGGCCAAATGCCGGCGTTGCGGCTAAACCGCGCCATGTTTGGTGAAGGCGCAGTCACCGCGATGTTGGCGGATGAAGTGCGAGGGGTGGCTCTGACGGTTGCATTCCGCATGGATGAACCCAGTCGATGAGGAGAGATAGAGGGAACACGCGAAGTGTGTTTCCAGGTAAAGAACGGGAAAGGAGTCCTAAGAAGGAGAAGGGAAGCAACGGAAGGATGTCTCTCTTTCTATTTCTCTTTCTCTATCTTTGTATGTGCGTCGTGTGCTGGCGCCTTTGCGTTGGAATGCTGCGCGGCGTTGGGCGCGTCACCTTCAGTCTCATTTTCCTTTGTCCTTGTTGACTGCATTCGAAGATCATGCGGCGCGGCCCGCATGTGGGGTCACGGCTCTGCAGCGGAGTGAAACTGTGGGTCGCGGCGCACGCACAGAAACACCTCTGTGCGTCGACGTCTTCATCGGGGGAAGAGGCGGCAGCGGCGGCGGCGGCGTGTGGAAAGGGCACCAGGAGCCAGGGCGGCGGCTGCCATGGCAACCGTGAAGGCGCGGCGGGCAGTTCTTCCAACGGGACGGGCTGGAAAACAACCGCCGCAACTGCAGATGAGCGCCGCCGCATCGCAAAGGGCTGGGAGAACGCCTTCTTTGGCCGCGTGCACTACGAACCTGGGATGCATGAAAAGTACCAAGCCGCCGTGGAAATGGAAGGGGAGGAGACGGGATTGATGCGGAAGGACAATCGTGATTTATTCCCGCACTGGCCGGAAGATGAGGAGGCCCCCTTGCATGAATTCCGCCGTCTGCCGGATGCGCTGAAGCGGCGCTACATCGTCAACCGACTGACGATGGGGGAGCGGCGGATCACGTACGCGGCGGACTACGGCGGCCTGCTCATGATGCAGCACCTCAACCTCGGAGAGATGATGATCAACGAGGCGGAGCGGCTTATTGTGGAGTGCGGCTGGTGCAACGACGCCGTCGCAGCCAAAATTGAGGCCGTACGCGAGTGTGCGGCGAGGACGAAGTTTGAGTTTGACCTTGATTGACGCAAGCCGAAGTGGGAAAGAGAAATAGTGAGAGAGAGAGAGGAATGCGGGAACAAGTGCTCCTTGGCGGTCTTCTTCCCTGTTGTTTCTTCTTGCGCCGTTGTCGCCATGTATTCTTCTTTCCCTCCCCACTCGTTTTTGGCCCACTCACACATGCCCCAACTTGGCCAGCGAACGAACGCGGTCGAAGAGAAATCAACTTGACGCACCAAGCAGGCACCAATAAGAGGCGGGCCGAGGCAGCAAAGGACGGGGACCATGCGGATCAACGTCGCGGGCCTGCGCCCGGAGCACACGATCAACGGCCTTGAGGTGAACCTCGACGCCGGCGTTGAGAGACTGCGGCGTGACATTGCGGAGCGAATCGGTACCGCGCCGGAGCGGCTGCGACTTATCCACATGGGGCATCTGATCGACGACTCTCGACCACTGAGCTCTTTCCTTCGCGAGGACGCGACGATTCACGTGGTGCCCGTTGCCGCCCCAACCCCTCCAACAGGGAGCCCCGAAGGAAACAACAACGAGCACGGCGGGGCTTCCGCGGCGAATTTGCCTGATGTTGCCGCCGCCTGGCGGGGGATGCAGAACCCCTTTATAGGCCTATTCCAGCACTCCCTCGCAGGCCTGGCAGAGCAAATGGGAGGGCGGCTCCCGGTGGTGGTCCAGAGTGGAATCGTGGGGAGTGGAATGGGCCTCCCTCCCAGGGAAAGTTCACAAACGCCTCCACCGCAGCAGCCCCAACAGTCCCAACAGCAACAGCAACAGCAACCCCAACAGCAACAACAACAGGAGCAACAGCAACCCCAACAGCAGCCTCCGCAGAACTCGGAAGGGCAACCGCACCAGCACCACCGCTTTTCCTTTTCCTACGCCATTCCGACGCCCGAGGTGGTGACCCCCTCTCCCGTGCACGTCCACGTTCACGTCACGATGGATGAGCTCGAACAACTTCCCGAACGCCTGGAAAGATTTCGGAACCGCATGCGGCTTTCTGGATCGAACGCGAGCCTCCATGTTGAGCGCGGGCCTCTTCCACCTACAACCACCGCCTCTGCCCAAACCGCCGCGGCAGGCGCAGCAGCACCGGAGAACAATAACCACGGCACCAACAGCACCACTCCCAGCGGGAGTGAGAACAGAGCACCCCATGCTTCGCCACAAACCATAGGTGACATATTTAACGCATTGAGTGAGACGACAGGCGACAACGGCGGAGAAGCCGCCGTCGTTGAAGAGCTGTTGTACACACTTTTTCGTGACCTAACCCCTATGGCTGCGGCTCAATTCGTTGCGGGGGACTTTTCCTTTCTCGCGCCCTCCAGGCAGCGCGTCGTGGGAGAGGTGATGCGGTTGTTAGGCCAACGAGAGGAAACGGCGGAAGGCACGCTGCGGGCGGATCAGCGGCGCCACCTTGAGCGCGAAGTGGACCAAATCATCGAAGGTATCCAACAGGACCCTGCCTTTATGGAGCTCATTCGGAGGAATACACGACCCCAAAGCAACTTCCTACGCGATATAAAAAGATACCTGGTGTTTGTGTGTGAGGAAATCGTTTGCGCCGTCTTAAGCCCGGTCTCGGACAGTGACGAGTGGGCGAATGGAGTGAGGGTGGCGTTGTTTCGCGTCGTCGGAGTCGCCGCTGAGCGGACTCCCGTCTGGTTTGAAAGGGGCCCCGCAGGCTTGGCAGACTTGATCATTTCACTCGCACAGACCTCGGCCACCCGGCTTCCAGAAGGCCGTGCCCGAGACACCGCCCAGAGCATCGCGCAGGCGGGGTCGCTCGCGCGGGGGCTGCTGCCACTTGTCATCTCCGGATGGCACGCGGAATATCTGTCACGGCATCGGCGCGACACGGACAGCGCCATCTTTGAAGGCGCGGCGGCCGCGCCGGAACGCGGCGACGAGGCCGACGGCCTCTTGGACGACTGTCTCGATGAATTCTGCGCAGATAATGGGGCCGGCGCCGCCGACCACGCCGACGCAAGCACAGACAGGCTTCGCAGCGCCCTGCGCGCCTATCGCGAAGTGACTCGGGATGAGGAAGACGACATCTGCAGACGTGCGCGGCGTTTTCGCTTAGAGCGGCCACCCGCCGACGCCGACACCGACGCCAGCTCCACGATTTGGAAGCACCTGAAGAAGTGACGGCGGACAGAGGCAGTCGAGGAATGGAAATGGGAAAGGGACGGCAATTAGGATGAAAAGAAAAAGAAAACAACTAATAAAGAAAAAAAAGAAGCCGATGGGATTCGAGCGTTGTGGATGGGCGAATCAAAGTGAAAAGAGGAAGGCCCGCGCTGAAGTGTGGCCAAGCGCTGTTGAGCTTTTCTCGTTACCGGCATTGCCGTCACTTTTGCCTTTGCTATTGTTTTTCACGTCCCTGCTCCGACGCGCGCGCGGCCACCGGTCGACGGCGGAGACGCCAACACGCAGAAAAGGTAAACCGGACTCCGTCCGCTCCCGCCCGGTCTGTCGCTGTTCCCGTTGTTTCTACGCCTCTATTGCCATTATTCCCTTTTTTTTTTCTGTTGGGCCACGTCGCAAACCGAGGGCAACATTATTTCCTTCTTGCTGCTGCCCCCCGCGCCTTGCCGGGGAAAGTCCCGGGCGGTGGCCGGCATCGCGGGCCACGCCCGCCCACATCAAGAAAGCATGACCCCGCGCGGAGGGAAAATTCTGCCCGCCCCACTGCTCGAAAACCCGCGTCCAAAATGCCAGACGCGAGGTTCTCTGCGGGGGGCGGCAGGGAAACCCGCGCTCCGGAAAACCGGGGACAGGGACCGCGGCCGCCACGAAAAAAGATCAGCCCGCGCGCGGGCATGTAAGGACGGGCGCCAGCCCCGCTCGTCGTTTCCGCGGGGCGGCCCGCGCCCACCCCCCGCGCACAGGCGCATTGCGGGGATACGAATCCCACCAGATGGCACAAAACGCCGATAAGCGAAAGGGGCAACGCCCCGCCCCGCCGCTGCCTGCCACGTGCCACGCGCCACGCGCCGCGTGCGGGGCCCGGCAGCTCGCCCTCTACCGCCTTCCCCCCGGGGGCGCCAAAATCCAGTGGGTGGCCTGCCTCCCCCGGCCTCCCGGGCGCGCAAGGAAACAGCCGCCCGAGCGCGCGCCGCGGCGGCTACGCGGCAGCGGACGTTTGGCCCGTTCTCCCCTTCGCCCCCCCGGGGGAAAGGCGGTAGGGGGCGAGGTGCTGGGCCCCGCTGCGCCAAGGGGGACGCACACCCGCAGCGGCGGCTCCTACGCGTCGCGTGGGCCGCACCAGGGCGGAACCCCGCGGCGGCGGAGGCCACCCCGCCTCTGCGCCCCCGCCACGGCGGCAGCAGACGGGTCACTCGCAGCCGCACGCCACCCGCGCACATACACACGCGGGCACGGGGGGACGGAGAACAAAAGAGCGGCGCACCCACGCACGC